ATAATCTTGAAATGGCACCAAACTTGGTTTGCAACTTCCTTCAAGGTCCCTTAACATTATCTCATATTAGCAGAAAGGCAATATCCAAATTATGATCTCCATTCTTACAAAATTTGAATATCATCTCTCTGAAAATATAAGAGAATGTTAAGGGGCCTGAAAGGAAGTTGCAAACCAAGTTTGGTGCCATTTGAAGACCACTCCATAAGTTTAAGGATTTGACCGGAAAAGAAACAGTATATTGAGCGACCAATTTGAACACGTGTCTCTTAAAGTGTGACACTATCCGCGTTCATCCGACAATTTTTTGCGGCGATCAAAGCACCAAATTCCTTACCCGGTCATTTTATGTCATTTGCTTCGGGAGTTATTCAATTTAAACGTTGACAACCCTTACCTTAAAGAACAATCAGGCCCGCCCTTCCGTCAAACGGAGTTGCCTGCTCCGCTCTGCTCCACCGGCAACTCCGTTCGGCAAAGGCCAGGCCTGCTTGGCCACGCGATTTGCTGAAGAAAATCAAATGATGTAACGGGCCTTCGACCCGCTAAAACCCGTCGTCCTTATAATTTGCCCCGTAGACACGAGAAAGGGATGTAACGGTGAAGCACCGCGACTACAACCCACCCTTCGGCTAAGAAACCGTTTTTTGGGGGTGGGGTGGGGGTAAGGGTTTCTTTCCTATTTTGTGGTTTTTAGGTCTTCTTCTACAACTTATTGTTCACTGCAGCAATTTTTAGTTTACATTCGTCAAAAAAGATCCTCCCTCGCCTAAACGGTTAGAGATAAAGCCAAACGGACGGAATTTTCGGCCAGAGGCTCTACTTTCACGAGTTACCCCTTAGGAAAACATAAAAAATATAACTTTTGGGGCGAATATTCGAACCTTGTATACCCCCATTCACACCCTTAGGGGTGGTTGCCAGGATTTGTGGTGGGCGTTTCGTTCTCTAGGAGTGAACCTTAAGATACCCTGAAAATTTCAAGTCCCTAGCACATCTCCTTCTAGTGGAACAGTCACCAGGTCGTTTGCATAAGCCCGCTGGGTAGCTTTTTCAAAGCAGAAGGGCGGGCTAAAAACAGATATCCATTTGTCTGCCGAGCTCAGAAAGGTAGCCGTTTGTCTGCCTTGCCCAGGAAGATAGCCCTTCGTACGTATGGGTGGTCGATTGGTCTTTTCAAGCCTTTGATTCTCAGCGGGGACCTTGTACGATGAAGTATTGTCGTTTAAGTAAGTAGTACATTAAGGAAGATTTCTACATGTTGCAGGGCAGCGCGTGGGTCTTACGGGAAATGCCTCTCTGGATCAAGAACAGATACGAGAAAAACGGTAGAAAACTTCCAGTCTTCATTACGGAGAATGGTATTAATGCTGCCGGTAACAAGTCTTCATTGAACGACTGGGACGAGAGGGCTGTGTATGCAAGCGTACGTACAATGTTTGGGCACATTTTTACCACAAATTCAGTAGCGGTCACGCGTCAAACCGTAGCCTAAAATAACAAAGTGTTTTTAACTGAATACACCGTTAATCCCTAGGCGTTCCTGCGAGAGCTGGCGGCTGGAATTAATGAGAATGGCACAAACGTTTTCGGCTACACGATGTGGAGTCTTTTAGATACATTCGAGTTTCACAGCTTCAGGTAAGTCATAGGCAAAATTCTTTTGTTTAAGAAAATGTAACGTTTGGTAGAGGCAAACCGAGACGAACTATCCATGCATGATTTAGTTTACTGTTAATGCAGGGGTCTCAGACACGCGGCCCGCGGGCCACTCGGGCGAGTCTCGTAGTCTCGGGCCGCAATGGGAGATATAGGCGGGCCGCTCCGGGCAAGCGACACAGCTCGGCAGCGAGCGGGCGTCGGTGCAAGCATGCGTCCGAAAACAGCAGGTGGACGTGAGATGGAGCTGTAGCGTGGTTATAGCATCTCACTCACACCTGTCGTTTTCGGACGCATACGAGCACAGATGTTCGCTCGCGGCTGGGGACGTCAAGCCCGCCTCCTCTCCTACAGTTCATCTATCTCTCTCACTCAGCTCGGTGCGGCCCGCGCAGATCGCCCAGTCTGAGACCCCTGGTTAATGTGTTCCGCAAAATACGTCTCTTATAAGAATCCTTTCCATCTCACAAATAAACACTGTTACGCTGCGAAAAACTTCGCGTTTATGCGGCACTGACACACGAGACCAAGGTTTAAACAGTAATATTCACCTTCTTTATGCAAATTTGCAGCAATTGGGGCATTGTCAAAGTGGACTTCAGCTCAGCAAACAGGACGCGCTCTTTGAAAAACTCTTGGACGTTCTTCAAAAGAGTCAGCAGTACGCACCTTGTGCCCCTCGTCGAGGCAGGTTCCGAACCCTTCCCAGACGACTCAGGCTCTGCCAAACTTACGAGCTCATCCGCCATGCTCCTGGTGGTGGGGTTATTTGCTAAGTTGATGTTATGAACCAATAAAAAATACAAAACTAAACAAAAAACAATATTTGCCATATTTGCTGCTCAGCTATTTCAAACTGATAAGTGAAGTGTAAAACTGGCGTGCACATTAGGCAGTTCCAAAATAAGGGGTCAGGTCACGGATTTTTTCATGGCCCCCGCCAGATGATAGAACAGGTCATTGCGATTACAATGAGCCGTAGCACAATTTTCTGCGATACGCGGGACCCTTGGCGCTTTGCATTCAGTATGCTCCCCGAAGGTGTGCTGCCCGCTGCTGCAGCTGGACAAACAGACCAAAGATCGCGCATTTCCACGGTTCTGAACAAGACCGACCTATGTGCACAAGTCGTCCCGGATTACCGCTCTACCGCTGTGCGCAAGAGAGTCGCAGAATTTTTCTGTTGATGTCGAAGACAGCGCATCGTGCGGCAAGCGGGCTACACTGCCTTCCCGCTAGCTACGTTAGAGCGCATCGGAAGCCACTCCGGCGTTATTGATCGCTTTTCCGGCGCAAAACAGAAAATCGTCAGGCGCACGATATGCATTGTTCAGAAGGCCTATGGCCCTGCTTCATTTCCCCGCAGTCGGTATTCGGCTACTATCAACCGTACTCGTACACGGCCGACATAACCCTGATTCGGGTTCTTACGCCCTCTGCGACAAACGGGGTTGTGACGGGGGGCGGCCTTGTCCAATGGTGAGTACTTACCATAGAAAGTCACCACGCACCGGGTCGCCGTCGCCGGCCTCACAGCCCGCTTATGCAAGCCCAATAACGAAGTACCCGCAAAACGCGCGAAAAGTGGCACGTCGCGATAAATGTGATGCGCCTATGGTTTCATCTATCGCAGAAAGGTGTGGTTAGGCCCGTTGTAACCGCAATGACTTGTTCTATCATCTGGCGGGTGCCGTGAAAATTCGATTTTCTTTTGGAACTTCCTATCCAATACTGTACACATTGAAACCTGCAAGAGAAGCAAAAAATCGGTGGTTTATGAGAATGATCACTGCACCAAAGGAAAGGGCAGCAGGTGAGGCTAAATAGCGATGATCAACAAACCTGCTCTCACATCAGAGCTGTACCTGGGGTCCTTTTCTACCTTGGATTTTTCCACAAAAGAAAAAAGACAGGGTATGTGTGGACGCTTTTTAGGACATCTGTTGCATACCCTCCCAGCGTTTTGGCCAATATCAGGAATGTACCTGAAAACTTAAGTAATATTATTAGAACCATAGTTTATTGCATTAGGCAGACAACCGGGAAGGAAAGGTCACGCAATGGACCAACAGCATATTACAATTTCCTACACCTACAAGAACAGATGCTACTGTACGTACCTAGTGGCTTCAAGGCCACACCGACAGTAGTACAGAGTTCCAGAACTAGCCATGCCAGAATAAAAATAGATACAAAATGTAGAAGTCAAGAAAGAAAAATATTTCACATTAATAAGTATGCACAAAACAGTAAAATATATCCTAATACCTGATTGAGACACAATTACTGACGCTCCTGGCTGTGTAACAGCAGTGTCAACAGAGGTATTTCGACGGGTCCTACGAGAAAGAAGCGATCGCGTTGCGCCAATCCAGAAAAGTACGATCTCGCCGCGCCAATTCAAACAAGCAGACCCGCCCTTCTGCCAACCGCCTTCCGCCAGCTCCACTTCGCTGCGCTGGCAACTCCCATTTCAGTCTCGTGATTTACTAGAGAACATAATCAAATACATAATGTGACCAGTACATCACTTGCAAATTTGAGTAAACTAAATTCCGACGGGGGGCCTGCGGCCCTAGAGATTTGCTCCTTTCACATGACAAAAGACTGTAACGGGGCAACACCGTGACTACACCCAACCCTTCTGCTTTGCTTACTAAAAATACAAAAAAAATGAACCAGCGCAGTTTTTAGATTGTATTGTTTGTCAAACAGTCTCAAAACTTGACTTCTTGCCATTGTTTTCAATATAACCACCTCTGGGGCCGCAACAGTGAAAGATACGGCAGATCCGATCGTAGTTTCTGATTCAGAATGTGTTGTTTTGGGGGGGTACTTCTTCTTCCATTTTACGATGGGACGCCTCCTAGTACGTTTTTATGTGCAACGTGGTCATTTTCGCCGTATTTTCGTTGAAAGAAGTACTCTAGCGCCGAAACGGTGCAAGATAGAGTCGAACGGACAATTTTTGCCCAGAGGGCTCTACTTTCTCAAGTTACCCCTTAGGAGACCATAAAAAAAATCCTACTTTTTCGACCAACCCCTATTTCTTTGTTACCCTCTTTCACCCCCTTAGGGGTGGTTGCCGGGATTTGCACCAGGTGTTTCGTTGACCAGGAGTGACCCCTAAGCTACCCTGAAATTTTTAGACCTCTAGCTCATCTCCTTCCTCTTACACGGACGACGGACGGACGGACACGAGAGCAGTTGCATAAGCCCGCTTTAATGCTTTTTTAAAAGCAGGAGGACGGGCTAACAACGACGATCTTGCAGCGGCCTAAACACACTGAATTTCAGAGGTCCGTTACTCGTCTTAGGAACAACGGATTGGGTTGCTTGACATATCATTTTTAACCAGAGGCAATTGAGATTAAAATGAGGTATCACCCAATACGCTATGACATTTCTAGTAATAACCTGCCTGAAGTTGGCCAGAAAAAAAGTTGGCCAGAAAAAAAAACTTAGTCAAAATTTTCAGAAAAAGTACTAAAAGTTGACCATCCAGAAATGCGTTATTGGACCTGGGGAACGACATATCAAAAGATGGCGGGACACACTTTTGGAAAGTCCTGAACTCCACCGTGGTGGTGCTGCTGAAATTACAACTTTCAAAAGAAAATGAACATGCTGAATTAGTTCACATGGTTGATGGTGGGCAAATATCAGATGGTAACGATTCTGACCGTTTCGCTGTTTTTGATGACAAATGTCCTCTGACAAGTGCCAAAAAATCTCTTCTGGTGAATACTCACCCAATTCAGTTCCAAGACTCAGACAAGTGGGAAAAGCTTCCTTTCGATAAAGATAAAGTTTATTTCCGGTCTGAAGGGGGTGAGAAACGTCTTTGGGTTTCCTATTGCCTGACAAGAATGAAAGTTTTTTGCTGGGTATGCCGCGGGTTCTCTCCTAGACCAGAAGGTCCGGTCTCTACGTGTGGCTGGGGCTCTGACGCACAGTGGGCTAGTGGTCATGTCTACGACCGACTAAAAAAGCATGAAAACAGCAATGACCATCTTAATGCTGTTGACACGTTCTTTAAATTTTCTGATAGTTACTCTGTTGACTTACTTCATGAGGGACAAATTAACCTGCGCAGGAAAAAAGTGGACGATAGACGGGAGATTGTTCTGCGCATTATAAATATCCTCCCGCGTACGTACGGTTTTTGCAATTAGCAACCTTAATTTTGTGTTGTCTGTAGTAGTCCCATAAGTTCCTCCATTAATTGCTTTTGATTTTCTAAAGATTCATCACTGAAAAAAGAGATTTGTTGAAATTAACATTTTAAGTTTTTAAAGATAACAGATACGAGCACAAAAATCACTGTCATACCTTACTACAACTCTGACCCCTTTCACAGCTTCATATGTTGCTGCTGCTAAGTTTGCAGCTTGCCTGCGTGGCTTGACTTTATCATTGTCGTTGTGATTTTGTCTGATTGAGGCATCAATACTGGCTCGTAACCTTGCCTAAAACAAAATTTCCAATGATAAATTATGTTGTGCTGTTTGTGCTGAAAACTTGTAAGAAGATAAAATAGACATTTTTCTGTTTCATTTTTTAAACAAAAATAGGAGGTGTACGTGCTCACATGGCCTTTTTCGTTATCAGGGTCAGCTAAAACTAGGTAGTCTTCAATTATTAGTGCAGACATAGGCTATTCCGCTCGACGCGGTAAGAAAAACACAAGAATCACAAAAGACGAGGGCGGGGGGAGCGGCGCGGGGGAGCGCGGGCGGGCGGGGAAGCCGCCTCGCGACCCCCACCCTCGTCTTTTGTGATTCTTGTGTTCTCCTTACTGCGTCGAGCGGAATAGCCTATTGCTGTTAATTCGTCTGGATGAAGGTACACGTTTTCAAATTGGTTTGTGATATGATTCCTGATATCAGCTGGTATCCAGGTCATATTTGGTTAACCTGAATTAATTGATCGAAGTGATGCAGCTCCAAATTTTGGCTTAAGTTTCCTTCCAGCCAGCTGCTTTCCATACATACGCTTGGGCTCCAAGAAATCAGGGTCGGATTTGGG